TTCGTTGTATCAAAAAAAAATTCGTTATAGAGAAAATTCGTTATAAAGAGAGTCATTTTATATATAAATTTTTCTGATTAATTCGTTAAATATAGTACAAATTTTTAATTACTAAATTTGGTATAGTAAGAGTTTTTTTATATTTAAAAATCTGTCTGACACTAAAATGCGTTGTATTGTAAAATTCGTTATATCAAAATTTGTTGTAGAAAGAGTTGACTGTATAATGTATCAAAAATGGTTAAATTATGATAAAATTTAAATTAGATTTAATAAATTTTAAATTTTAATCATTTTTAAATTATAAATCTATTTTATAAAATTAATACTTTTATTATACTAAATATTATGAAGTTATATGTATAATTTTAGTATATGTTATATGTAAAATATTTTAATCAGAGATAATTAACATAAAATATACATTGATTTTACATATTTTTTTTATGTAATTACAAAATGTTACTTTTAGTAAAACTTATTAAATAATAATTAGATTTTGATAAAATTTGGTATTATATTTTTTTATATTAATATAAAGTTATAAGTAAAAATCAACTTATATTATTATATAGAATTTTTCAATCGGAGTTAATTAGCATAAAAAATACATTGATTTTGACACTTTTTTTTATGTAATTGCAAAATGATGCTTTTAGTAAAACTTACTCAATAATAATTATTTTTTGATCAAATTCAGTATTTTATTTCTTTATAATTATATAAAGCAACTTGTAAAAAATTAGCATATATTATTATATATAATTTTACAATTAGAGCTAATTAACTTAAAAAATTAATTAATTTATAGCATTTTTTATATGTGATAAAATGAAATAATGATCAGTAAAAGATTAGCAAAAGATTAATAAAAAGATCAGTAAATTGTAATATAATTAAACATATCTGCTATACTGTTAGTAATAGATATAAGTTAGGAGGTAACGAAAGTTTTAAAATCAGAGTTATGAATTGATCCACCTTTTGCTATACCATTATTCAATTTGGGAGTAGGATAGACTTCAGATTCAAAAAAAAACATTTATAGATTACTCTATCTAATACAATTTTGACTTAATATTAGAGTTAGGAGAGAAGGTTTTGGAATTAGTCTTTGAAGAAGAAGGTGGTGAATGTTTTTTCTTAGGCAAATTTTGGAAATTGTTAGTATATTACGAGGGTTTAATCACATGAGTAAAAGTAATATTATTATAAATGATACCTCTTATAGGATTACGTTTGGGTATAGTATAATTAGTGAATTGGATAGGTTAGAATTTTTGGTAAAGATTTGATCTTTTAGCGTCTGATGACGTTTGGAATAAGAAGAGGCGTTATGATATGCTGATGAACAAATAGCATAAAGTTTAACTTTTAGATAAGTTTATTCAAGTTTTTTATTATTTAAGGTTAAATTTTTAATGTTCATTGTGGCCTTGATATCTTCTTTATTGTGAAAATAAAAGAAAGCATGTTGAAAATAATTGTAGTTTAAACATACTCAAGGGATAATTCAAGCAGTAGTAGAGATCATATTTTCTATATCCTGAAGGTCATATAGTATGATATTTTTAGAAAGAGTAGTTAGTTTAGCTGAATTAGTTGAGCGGATTTGAATTTTTATTCTAAAAAGGTTACAGGAATAATAATGTATTATATCATTTAATAGGTAAATACTGTTACTTTTTTTTTAATTCTGCGAAGTTTGCTTAGTCGTCAAAGGTAATTGTTATTCTTTGTCATAGGTTTTTTGTTTTTATAGTAAAATGAATAATAATACTGAATTTGGAAAAAAGTTTACAGAATCTGGTTTCAGTAGTATCTAGAGAAATTTCTGTGACTGTAATCAACCGATCAGGTATATAGGATGCAGATTTTTTAATATTCAGTGGTTAAAATGTGGTATTATCTATATCAGAAAATTTGAGAATGTAGAATGCATCATATTCAGATTTAATAATTAATTGATTTTGATTAACAGGATTGTTTCCTCTTGTAATATTGATGAATGAGTTATATTTGTCATAGCACAAATCTGTGATTTTCAAAATCTTCATTTAAAGGTTAGGTCTAGAGAATTTTTCTAATAGAATAAACATGAAAAATTTGATAATTTGAGTTGAGATGCTTCAAAATTAAGGGTAAAGGTATCTAAGATATTTTTTAATAAGTCAAAAGATTCATTGATGCTCATAGTAGTTTTCTGTGCAGACGTTTCTAGTGTAAAGATTTCAGGACCTTTTTCTTTGTTGAAATTATTGGTTGAACTTTTTGCAACAGGGTTAACTTCCATTGTGTTGGTATTTTTTGTTACAATAGATTCAGTAAATGTAGTTGGATACTCTACAATAAGATTAGAGTCTACAGTTTGAGTTGTGTTTTGTTTTTTAGTTAGTACTTTATTACTGACAAGTGATGTAAAATAATCATGATTGGTGTTCTTTCTTCCAATATTTCTTAGCATTTTGTTAGATTAGTAGAAAGAGTTTTTTTTCTCTTTCAAAAGATATACTGATCACCTTTTTTTGTTTTATTTTTTATAAACAGATCTTCTATCTAAAGTAAATGATTTATTAAAAAATCCTTTTAATAATAATTTAGCATTTTCAAGTATTATTTAAAATTAACTGGATCCAATTTGAGAGTAGTATTTTTTTTTCTTTGTTTTTCATATTATACTTTAGTCATTAATGTAATTTTGTTGGTAAATGATAATGGTTTTATATTATTATTATTAGTAGTCACTAGAAATGTAACTTGTAGATCATTTTATATTAAATATATTTTATGTAACCATAATTAAAATACTTTACCTTGTAGATAACTGTCAGATTTAATTATATTGTGCTGATACAAATTAAGAATTTGATAGTCCATTATGTGTTCTGTTCATTTTTATTGTCACATTTCTATTTTAAATAACAAAAAATTTTTTATATTTTAATGAAAATATGCTTTAAAAACATCTATTTCAAGATCTAAGTTGAATATAAAAGAAGTATACAGCTTTAAATAGAAAAATATATGTAATTCTATGAGAAGAACAAGATTTTCTAAGCTTATAAAGACGATTATTTATACTGTTTTTACGTAAAATGCAAAAAACTGAAATGTTAAGTAATTTTCAATTATTTTTAGTATTATTTTTTTAATAAAATACTTTTTTTTTTGTATAATATTTTCTTTTTTTTTATAGGAACATAAGAACATTCTTTTATTTTCTAAATAAAAAAATCACCGGGTTATTTTTCAAATAAAATAAATTATTTTAGAAATAATCTTTTGGTAAGGTAGGTCTTAGATTTGCATTAATGTTATTTACATTTGAGTTATTTTTAAATAAAATAACTAACTTCTTTTTAGTTTTTAGGAGTAGTTCTTTTGTTGAAATTGCAAAAGTTTGATGCTTTGATTTTTTTTATCATAGTAGTAATTTTTTAATTGTAGTAGATTATTTTTTTATAATGGATAATTTTTTTATTCATAGTAGATATGATTTTTTAATCGTGATAGTTGATTTTTTAATTATGGTCTTTTTTTTTATTTTTTTTTTCATGCTGGTTATTTTTTTTAATTTTTATATTTTTTTATGATCATTTTTTCTTATGTATGAAGAAATGGTAAATTTAGTTGTTAAGTTATTTCTTTTTTTTCAATGACAGATAATAGACTCTTTCCTCTTTCCTTTGATCTTTCCCTTGATCTTTCTTTTGATCTTTTTCTTAGTCTTCTTTTTGGTCTTTTTCTTTCTTTTTCTTCTTCTTTTTCTTCTCTTCTTTTCACTTTTTTGTTCTTTTTCATCTTAGTAATTTCAGCAATTGTAATATATGTTATATTCCTTGTTCTTCTTCTAACAGTTGCATAATTTTCTGTTAAAAGAATTTCTTGGTTAACTATTACTTATAATCTTTGAATTTTAATATCATATGCAGTAACTAATTGATTAATTCCTTTATGATTTAAATTACTACAGAATTTAAATATTAGGTGTTTGAATGGATTTGAAGATTCAAAAGCATCAAGTAACAAATAAGCAAACACTCAGATTTTTTCTTTTTAAGATTGAATATTATGTGATTGAGAATTTTGAATAGAATCACCAATATAATCATAAATCAACATATCAGTATGTACTTTTTCTAGTTAAGTAGCTCTAATTTTTAATTTTAATTCATTATCATCTCCTAAAATTTTTGTTATATTTTTTTTTACAAATTTGACTCCAAATGTTTCTAATGCTTTATCATAAGCAAAAAAATATCTAGGACTTGTTAAGTTAACAGATAATATTATACGAAGCATTATACGAAGCTGAAAATCATTTTCTATATAATAAAGATGGTAAATTATAGACTTAGTATAATTTGATTTGCCTGAAATAAAAAATAATAGAGAAAAAGCTTTTAAACTTTTATGTGTAAATCAAATATACCTCAACGAATTTTAAACCAATATGCTTTCTAATAATTAACCTACTAAAAATACAAATACTAAATTTTTACAATTGTATTTTCTTCTAAGATATTATCTAATGTCTGTTCTTTCTTTTTTATATACAAATAGATCACTATACTAATAACAATTCAAATTAATTCTAATACTCTTGAAGTTCTTTACAGTAACTTACTTTTCTTAATATGCAGTAATTGCAAAGTGACTATAAAGTAAATATATAGTTACTATCTTACTTAGTAGTAGCTTAATCACAGCCTAATAGGTACTATGCAGTTACTGCATAGTAAGGAAACAAAGTTTCTGTAAAGTTACTCTAAAATCTACGCTTTTTCTAACTTATCTAGAAACTATACATCTAATATTCCTACCATATTAAAAATTCCATAACCTGAGAAAATTGTAATTAATGCAAATATCATATCTTTATTTGTGTGCTATTGTTCAAGAATCATTTTGGTTTTTTCATTTTTTTACAATAACTAATACTTCTGAAAATTGCTTTATCTGCAATAATATCAATATATTTATTATCTTCTGTAACAATTTTATTTAAATACATTTTTAAACATTCATGTATAGCAGAATCATTTGATAGTGGATCTTTAGCATTAAGAATAACAATATTGGATGATAAAAAATCACAACCAATTTTAAAAAATGTTATAATTTGATTATATATATCATATTTATTAAAATCTGTATAATATGTAAAAGTATTTTCATAAAATGCAAGTAATTTTTCAAAAACTGAATTAAAAATATGGAATGTTTATTGCAAAAAAAGAGTTTTGTTTAAAAAGTTGTTGTTACTGATTTTATGCTATTTCTTATTCCTTAAGTATATTAAGTGATTGAGGCATTTAATATTAAAATAACATACGTAAGTAGCATACAAATTTCCTCTAGTAGCATCAAAAGTATTTCTATATCCAAATGTAGATACTTTAAAATCCAATACTAAGATTCCAAATATTTTTTTCATATATTATTTGATCAGTTGGATCTACTAAAAGTGCATGAATCTTTTCTAAATTACATTTATATCTTTGAGTATGATTAGTAATATTAACTATTTTTAAAATATTTTGCAAAGATGATAAAAGCTTTGGTTTACAACAAAGACTTACCATTATTTAGGGTAACCAGATTTTCCATATTTTAAACACAATATTTAATATTATTGAAACAAAAAATGTGATTTGTTTAGAAATTTTTTCATAATTTAAAGATTTTAACTGCTATTTAAAATGCTTTCTTCTTTTATCTATATATTTTTTTTTGTCTCATGTAAAGATTTTAAAAGTTCTTCATAAAATTATACTAACATAAAGGAAATACATTATGGTATTCTTCTATAAAAGTAGGTAATTTAAGTGATTTTTTATTAATTTTTAATTTATGTCTTGCAAGTATTGTTAAATATGCTAATGCTTCTTCAAATTCAAAAAAATGTTTTGATATAAGATTTTTTGGATTTAATCTTTTATATAGATTGTAATCAAATTTTGCTAAAGCAAGAATAATAAGAATCATAAAAAGAGAAGATATTTTGATTTTATTATTTTGTATATTATTATTGAAGATTCTAAGGATTCTGATATAATATTTGATTATTATTGAGAAAATTGTGAATTAATAATATATAAAGTAGGAATTAAAGATGATAAAACCTTTTTTTGCTATTCCAATTTATTAGAAGTACTAACAACATTAAGAATCCAATGCCCAATTGCTTCTAATGCTTCTTTGACATCATTTTTGTGATGTGACAAATTATTATAATTTGGATCTTTATGTACACCCTTTCCAATATGTTGATAAATATATCTGCCTTTTTTTTCATAACAAGTTATGCATATATATTATATATTGTTACTCTGCTGTATTGAAATTACAAGAGAATGATATTCTTGTAAAGTATCACATTTTTTTTATACTATACAAGGAACTTGAATATTTTTATTTACAATTGTATATGAATGTTCATTATAATTAGCATTATGACTAAAAAATCTTATTCTTATTATAAAATAAATAATGGTGACGATGAATAATGCTTTGATTATATTTTTTAATTTGCTTCAAATTAGCTAAATGTATAGTAATTTATTTTGATCAAATATAAAGTGTGTATAACAAACTCCTAATATTTTATTTTAAAATTTTTTTCTTTTACTTCATTCTCATCAATTTCCTATATACCAATCATTTGCCAAAGTCATTTCAAATTTGTTGTAGAATTACATTGTTGAATTTTCCCTTCAACTTTATCAATTATAACACATAGACTTAATTTTTCGTTATCTTCTAAATTAATCATAACTTCATCAAGTTCTTCATCAGATTCAGATAAATCACTTTCTGTATCGCTTATATTTTTCCAATTATCTTCATCTTAAATATCTTGTTGAATAAATTTTTTTGCATTTGCAAATGCATTATGATCTAATTCATCATCATTATTTTTTTGATTCAAGAATTCATAATAATTATTACTTTCAGCATTAATTAAATTTTCATATTTATTGTCAAACTTCAAATCTTCTTTTAATTCCTTATATTCATTATAAATTTTATAACTACCCTCTGAGACTTTCTTATATTCACTATAACTTTTATTATTACATTTTAAATCTTCTTTTAAATTCATTAAGCTAAAAGAGTGTTCATCAAATTCAGAATCTACAAGAAAAAATGTAAAAAAAAAGAAAATTATTATTAGTTTTAATTTAAGTCTTTTAAATAGT